CCGCTGAAGTATTTGAATATGGAGCCTGTTCAGACTAACCATCATGCTAGTTGTTACATCGGACAGGCTTAATAACAATAGCATTACAGATGTAGAGTGTATTTGTTCTGTGATGGAGAAATATTAAAATGTCTGTTCATATAATGGCTGTTGTTGTTTGTTCAATTTGGGCTGACAAGGATACTCAACACGTTTGTCCAGTGCCTATTCAGCAAGCTTTAATTTTTTTCTGAATTTGACTACTTCTACACTCTGTTCTTGAAACCACACAGCGTTTGGACAACCGAGGATATCATAAACGGGTCATGTCAGAGGTTAATGCCCAAGGCAAATGTCATAGACTGAAGAAACCTTTTGAGGATAAATGGAAATATATATTCATGTTTTCGGATATTTTCTCATTCCAAGTAAAACATGAACAATATTTTGAATGGACTGTGTAACATGACGATGTGGCAGGTACTCGGCTGGCCATGAGGAAGCCCCAGGGTCGACGGACTTCAAATGACTGAGGCATTTGTATTGTAATTTGTCTTTAATAAACACAAGATGGCAATTGTTTCTAACTCATCCTTTAGAGAAAAAACATAGGTTTTCTCTTCCAGTTGCGTCTGCTGGCCAAAGCCAGTTATTATGCATACAGCCCAATGGTTATCAGCTTTGATGTGCAACTCTAATGTTTTGGGTCGGGAATAGACGTGCTTCTGGCATGACGTCGCTCTCGGAAATAGCCTCATGCATGATGGAGAAACAGCAAGAACAATTGACTGCTGCCTTTCTAAAGACGTCATGAATTAACCTTTCTCCAAACCCAGTGCTTACAAGTGACTTATTTAGATACAGGCAGAGGATCTTTGGTTTCAAACCTCTACTGCCCAACCTGAGGAAACCTGTCACATTTGCCTCGAGTCCTGGCAACAAATACTCCCGACAGGTGAGATATTTCCATATTACAGCTATATCATCATTTGGGAACACTAGGAATGGGCTTCACACAAAATCTTGTCTCTTGTCAAAGTTGTTCAGCTAACATAATATAATAGAACTTCAACTTATGTATGATGCATAACAGATATGATTTATTATAGCATTGACTAAGGTTACATAATCAACAACACAAAATTAGCAGCTGAGTTAATTTTGAAGATCCTTGCTACTGCTGCATATATAACAAACACTGAATTGCATCAATAATGTGTTTATTCTTCAAACTGTAACAGACAGAATTAGAAAAAACTTACTCAAATTTATTTAACATAATTAGCATTAAAATGAAGCCACAACAGGAAATCGGAATCCTCAACATGGTTGTAACTGAACTCTTCCTATAGTGGTTGATCATAGTGCTGCATGTCTGCACTGTCATACAACCAGCTTAAGTGTTGCTGAAACCAGTCTGTTATTATGTTAATGTAAATGGATGTCAATCATCGGACTGTCAAACATTCTGTTTTCCCATTAGGATTATCCTTTAACAAATGAAACTTACTCGCAAATTACTCATGTCATTTCTTTGCAAAAGACTCACTGCATAAAACTATGTTTTGATATCAACTTCAACATATTGCCATTGTAGTAATATATATTTACAATTTTGTCAATTTGCATAAAACAGACTAGAACAATTGGGTCAACTACCACAATGCAAACTTTCAAACTGTTTTCAATAAAACCTACATTCTATGAAGCTTCAATCAATATTCAAAACCTTTGGCATTCACAACATAATCAATTCTCGTAGTCATTTGGCTTAACATTAATGACACAATGATAGCCGGCACGCTAAAGTGTTCTTCATCTGAAGTATAAAGTTTGGCTTTGTATGATGGAGAAGCACAGGTCTGGAAGCATGTTGCAGTGTTCATTCATAACTTGGACATACACAATGATATATTAGAGGGGAAAAGAAACTGCTTATTTCACATATTACTGAAACATTGATATACATACTTTTGCTTATTTCACATCCCAGTAGTCTGAAGGGTAAGGAAATATAATCCCAATCTAACCTACGTTTTTCACCCCAAAACATATGAAGGCACACAGCACATCAAAATGAACACTTACTTTCAGTCGTTAATACATTCAGGTCTGTTTCTGCAAGCTTACTTATGAGAAGACACATAACCTCTGATGGATGGGAGGTAAAAGTTCCTCTACATCATCCCAATGTCTGGAATGAGTAGCTTGTGGTTTTTATTTCATCAATATCTGTGGATCATACAAGTACTGGAAACCACAGTGGTACAAAATAACTCTCATATCACTGAAACCATAACCTCTCCTCAAATCTGCTTTATGAAAGATGTTTATATCACAACAATCTCACAGCTGAAACACTTGTGGTCATTTGGAGATTGTCATCCTATAAAAAGTTTCAGTTTCATTTAGGTGATTAGCACAATGTGGAGTTTCACATTTTGAAATATGAAAACGGCTCTCTTCATTTGAATGTGTGCAATCAAGCAAGTAACAAATCAATCTCCCATAATAGTAGTCACAAAAGCTTTTCTTCTTGAGACAGCTGAACATAAACAATTTTCTCTATCCTGTGCATCCTCAATTATCAAGTGAACTATGTTTAAACTATCATGATATACACCCTGAACACCTTAGATGCTTCCGTCCCAGTCAGTATATCACACTGAAAATAGACATCCAATAATAACTCCACTGTTCTGAATGAAGGAAACATGACAATAAGGCCAGACCAATTTAATTTCTTGTTTTACAGATTTTTGTCCTAAGAAAACCTCAAGGCAGGAGGGAAAAAAGAAAAGAAAAACAAATCATGTATCAAAGTAATATTCCTTTTAAATACTAAAAGTATTTTACTTTTGGCAGTTTATGAAGTGTATATGGGGCAAAAAAAATCCAAAACATTAATTTATGTTAGTTTACATTTATGGGAAATAAACATAAGGATTTTATTTTTTGAGCGGGGAAAATTAATTACATTTTTTTCTTTATTCTTGAAAAAATACGACTGACGGGTCCATAAAACAAGAAATTGGTCTGGCCTAAGCAGCTCATGCAATCTTGTCTGCTGTTTCAAATAGAACTGAGAACATCTTACACTATGACAAATTCCCTCCCACACACCACTTTCTTAACACTCTGAGAAACATTTCCAGCAAAATGATACTTATAATCTTCTGATTAGGACCATTTTTGATAATGTCATCTGTGCGGAATTCCTGTTCAGAAGAGGTATTTTCATGTCATTGTTTTCAAAATCCCAAACAAGAGAAGGTTTGTATTAGATGAGTGATGAAGATGGTGTCATGACTTCTGAAACAAGCTATTGTAGTAAATATGATTAGGATATATATCATAACACAATGGAAATATTGAAGAGGTATCCAGTTTGACCAAGCATGAAATATTGTATAAACAATTGGTAGTCAGCTGGAAAAACTACATAATCACTGCAAAATATCTGTCCGATGCACATGGCTGTAAGTCGTTTGGTTATCACTATATAAACTGGGTTGTGTATGTATGTCCAATACTTCTAGGACAAATGATAATGCCTTTATACGTGGCATTCCACAAGAGTTGTCATTTGTGAGTGTTCCTGGAATAATACATCAATATGGCACAACATTCAATGTTAAGTTTATGGCATCCAGAAGGTTGGCACCACAGCTAAGACAATGCAGTCTAGCACATCTTCCTTGAAAATAAGTCATGATATGGCTGAAATATTGCCGATGTGATGCTAAATATTAACTCACTCTTTAAAGATATCATCTTCTGATCTTGTGTACCTGTAATACTGTTTCCTATTCCACACTATGAGATTATTACTGAGTGAACATTTGTCCACTGCGCCAGAATGCCTGAATGTGGCCTGCAGTGCCGTCTTCAGCTGTAGGAACCACACACACTCATACAGCGTACTGCTCAGCAGCCACTGACTGCCAGTAATACAGGGCCATATAGGGATTCTAGACAGTCTACTGTTTCAGCAACAAATTACTGTTGAAATTGAATACAAGTGAAGACAATACTGAGTATTTTCATAGCAAGCCATCAGGTAAGATCAACAGCATTAGACTTGTTGGTAAAATGACTTACTGATGATGAGCTTACATCAACAAGCTGACACATGTAAGTAGGGTGCCTCCCATGTAAGACAGAAGCCATTTATAAGAATCAAAGAACAGCGATATTTCAGCTTAGACAGGAAAAAAGGTAAAAGTATTTAATGAGACTGAAGCTTGTCATTGAAGGAAAGGGAGACAACCAACAAAATTATTGCACTGATTATTTTGCACGAGCGATAGAATATATTATTTATAACATACAGCCAGCAAACTTACAAGCGATCTATGCCACCAGAAAATTCATGCAGAAATTGATTTATGTGAACGCCTATCTGGCATGACAACGTTCACCACTTGCCCAAATAAATGTCATCAACAGAACAGCGTTCAACACTTGCCCTGATGAATAACACCAACAGAACAACATTTAACACTTGCCCTGATGAATGCCATCAACAGAACAATGTTCAACACTTGCCCTGATGAATGCCATCAACAGAACGTTCAATACTTGCCCTGATGAATGCCATCAACAGAACAACGTTCAACACTTGCCCTGATGAATACCATCAACACTTGCCCTGATGAATACCATCAACACTTGCCCTGATGAATGCCATCAACAGAACAACGTTCAACACTTGCCCTGATGAATGCCATCAACAGAACAACGTTCAACACTTGCCCTGATGAATGCCATCAACAGAATGTTCAATACTTGCCCTGATGAATGCCATCAACAGAACAACGTTCAACACTTGCCCTGATGAATGCCATCAACAGAACGTTCAATACTTGCCCTGATGAATGCCATCAACTGAACAACGTTCAATACTTGCCCTGATGAATGCCATCAACAGAACAACGTTCAACACTTGCCCTGATGAATTTTATCAACAGAACAATCAACAGTCACTGTATGTTACAGCCACTGCCAATCCACAATCAATGTAGGTACATGTGTTCTTACACAATATTGGTATATACAGAATGTGTTTTGTATAAATATACATCAATCTGTACAGGCAGACGAAAGAGAGTTGCAATTTTACTTCCAGTTCAGTTGGATATCTATTTTGCAACCCAAAAATTACAATCTTTTAACATATGTACAATGAATCAAAATATTTTAATATGAGCCAAATTTAGAAAATTTATTTTTTAACAACCATTCACTCAAACATTTTGGTAGGGGAAAATTAATAGATAGATCTATCTGAATGGACAAATTCACCAAAATGTAATGATACCAATCTCAAAGGTCAAAACACATATTAAAAAATATATGTCACTGAATAATATACAATTTGAAATGTGAATGTTTGAAGCAATAATACCTAAAATACAACATCTCAAAAATAATACTGCAGCAACAAAAACAATAACAAAAGATTTGACTGTGGTGTTTCAAAAGTAAATCCAATAAAACCCCATGAGGATAAAGGAAGTGTCCCAAAATGAATGGTTACAGATTATCACAAGTAAAAGCTTACATAAAAAATAGAAGTGGTCCCTAGACAAGGCATAATTTGACAAACATGACAGAAAATATAGACCTCCAATCCACCAAGAGTTACTGCTTTTTGCTCATTTGTGTTGAAATATGTGAATGTTAATTAGTTTAAAGCAGAAATAGATTTAAGAAAACATCACAGCATAACAATATTGGTCCGCATAGTTTTAGATAAAGGGAGATTACTCTTGTTTCCTTGTAGCTGGAAGTGCACTATGACTTGCCATCCAATTCAAAATGCTTATATATGTTGGTGACATAGGACATGATAGCCTGCCAATCAGGTCTCTCCATGGCAACCATGTCATTGATGTTCTGAAAAAGACGACAGTTCATTAAGCACTTAAAATATGTATGGTTAAAACTTAAACTACCTGACAGTCAAACAAGAAGCAATAGACAATAAACTAACCAGCTCTTCTAAATCAGTTTGACTCATATCACAAATGTTTTGCTAGTGCCAACTTTCACATATTGTTTTCCCAGTTACAAAATATACAGCTAACATGCAAAAACTACACCAGCATTGTAACTGATTAAGTGAGTTTGAATATTCAATTACTACAATACAGCCAGGTTCTTCTCTTACCAGATTTGTTGGTATGTCCACACATTCTGCAGCTTCAAATGCCAGTTTAAAATTACGGCGCTACAAAGGACAAAAAAAAGGGAGAAAGTTACAAATTAAACATGCTCTTAAAACAGTCATTACTGACTCGCTTTCATAACCAAACAGCATATGTATTGAATGTTGCTAAATAACCATTTCATATTCAGATGCAGCAAACATTTTGTGTTGGTGACATATCTGGCTATTTCTGTTTCCAGAGAGAGACGTAAAGCAGACAAGGAAAAAAACAGGCAGGGCCCTGTTTCACAGAGCTATTGTATTGCTAAGACTGTCGTACCTCCTGTACTGTAACACAGACTTATGACAGTTGTAGAGATACGATAGCTTTCTGGATTGATTGTAAATGTCTTTTAAACAAAATTCAACAGCATCAAGTTACCCTGATCTGTCTGTTGTTTGTTGAGTTAGTCTGGAAACTGATCAATTTTGGACCCCACAGAATCCTATCGTTGTTATTCACTTTCTGTTATCAGTATATGAATCTTATGATATTACTTTTGTTATTAGTATAAGATACTATTCGCAATGTTTTGGGTATTTTTGTAGTTGATTTTTAACATGATTCAGATTGTCTGATAGATTGAGATAAAACAAATTGGAAATTTTAATATAAATTGTATATTTATATACTTATCCTATCTCACGACTTGCACCTCTCTCTCTTGCTTCAACTTTTAGTGGAACGACTGTAAACCTTTTCCATAGGCATCCTTGTCCATTCGCCGTGCACTCCATGCTGCTCTCCTTAATTGGCTTCCTAGTTCCTAATAAAGCTTGCAGCATGCTCCACTAATTGCCCACGTGACTACCTTGAATGATCATTCTCATCTTGGAGCCAACGTTGTAATCTGAGTAGTGGGGAGGCCGGGCGGGCATCCATCGCATGAGATAGGATAAGTATATAAATATACAATTTATATTAAAATTTCCAAATTTTAAACTTATCCTATCTCATGACTTGCACTTATCCCACGTTTGGACGGCGGGCCGCAGATTACCCTTCTGTCTGGACAGTGCGAACAGCTGGTCTTGGAGCTGTGTGGACTGATGGCAACCGTAGATAGCGATGTATAAGGGAGGCCTGTTACGCATGGACACTATGCTTGTAGTGGGTTCTCCGGAACCCCTTGGCTTACTAAGCAGAACGACTCCCAGGGAGATGGGTGCTCCTGAGCGATGTGGTGTTCGGCCGCAACCTTGTACAAGACGAGGGACGCAACTCGGCAAGTAAGCCTCGCCTTGCCACGATTTACAAGGTAGCCTGTAATTAAAGTTCTGCGACTAGAATCGGGCCAGCCCCTGCTTCAAGAAGGCCCCCCAGACACTGACCGAGGCGGGTGAAAGAGAAACACAACTCGGCATCTCCAAGGTTTAACGTTCAGTTCCAGGCAGCATCAAATGGACCCTCACTCCTTTGCCTAAGCTTAGTCAAAGGATGTGCCCGGCAACTTTGGAGGCAGAACGCAACGAAAACCACTGGAATTCGGGAGTGCCACACTTCACTGACGTAATTGCTCCATGGAGTAGAGGTCAGTAAGCGTGAATGTCGAATGAACACCTCTGCATCGTCATACTGATTGTGCCTCAGCTCCGTAGGGCCATGCTAGGTGGCCGTATTCCGATGCCTTGGTATGGAGGCCAAGTGAAGTAGTTCTTAAACCCATATAATGAGAACAAAAGGTTGAGATCCAGTTCAACTGTTATTCAGTATATACAAGGAAGTAGTAACGCGAATGCGGAACCGTCCCTCATCTGCGTTGTTGGGCCGATGTAAGCTGCTGAGCCAGTACAAGAGGTCCGAACTGGTGTAGTCCGTGGACATCCGTGACAGACAGGTCTCGCAGGTAATGTGAAGAGAAGACTGTATCAGAACGCCAGAAGCAACCTTCCATGATAGCGGTCAAGGAGCAGTTGCTATGGAGGGCCATCGTCAAGGCTAGTGCACGAGTCTCATGAGGATTGGAAGCGGCTGGAGCAGGCAACCCTGCAAAGGTGTAGGCTCGCAGGATCGTGGCACACATCCAGAAGGCCAATGTGGTCCGGGAAACCTCAGTTCTTGAAGCAATCGACAAGGGTATGAAGAGGCGCTTCCGTAGCCGTCGACGATGCTTGGAGGCAGCATGGTAAACGTGTAGAGCCCTAACAGGGCAGAGTGTCAAATCTTCATTATCATCAGGCCCAAGAATGGTGGACAACGGGGGAATGGTAAACATCCGGTCCAGTTGCCCTGGCAGTTGGTTTTTTGCAATGAAGTCCCAGCGGAGACCTAGGAAAGCCTTGCCATGCTTCTTCCGCTCGAACTGCACCTGATTGACATCAAGCCCATGCAGTTCAGATATATGAGTAGCGGTAGCCAAAGCTACCAGGAAGAATGTCTTGAATGTCACTTGTTCGAAGTTCTTGTCTTCTAAAGGTTCATAATCTGTAGAAATCATATGACGAAGGACGACTGACAGATCCCAGGCCGGAGGTCTGAACTTCCTGGACTGGTCAGAGAGTCTATAGGAGCGTAGTAGACTCTGCAACTCGGGAACAGTGGAAATCTCCGTGCCCGTTGGGGTAGCCAAAACCGAGTTAATGGCAGCTAAGTAGGTAGCTAACGTAGTACCCTTGAGTTTCTTAGCAGTGCGGAGATGCTGCAGAAACTCAGCAACAACCTGAGCCGAGGTGGAAGTGGGAGATGCAATTCCCCTAAGCTTGCAATAGTCTTCAAACTTCTTCCACTTGTTGTCGTACAAGGAACAGGTCGAAGTACGATGCGCTGAAGTGATAGTTGTGGCTACTAGGCGAGAGTAGCTCTTAGCTATGAGAGACCTCTGAAGATGCGTCAAACGTGTAGATTGAGGGTCTGAGGTGACCCGTGGCGCAGTTCCGAGTGAGGGTGAAAAAGTAGGTCATCCCGGTTGGGAAGCAGTACTGGGTTTGGCTCTGCCAGGCTTCTTAGGTTGACGAACTAACTTCTCGCTGGCCAGAAGTGTGCGACCAAGAGCAGTAGGATGCTGCTGGTGGCCAATAGTTTCTGCATTACTTTTGGTAGCAGAGCTGGAGGGGGGGAACGTGTAGGCATTGAGACCCTCCCATGATATTGCCAGTGCGTTGAGGTCCCACGCCAAGGAGTCTGGGATTGGTGATACGGAACTTTGGAAGTTGGTTGTTGAACCTTGTGATGAACAGATCTATTTGAGGCCGTGATAATGGGTAGATCATCGACTGAAAGATCTGGGGCAGTAACTTCTACTGTGTCGGGGACGGTCGGTTGGATCGGGACAAGGCATCAGCTATCACATTTTTTACCCCAGGAATGTGTCTGGCTCTGGCTACGATGTTCAGTGAGTCGATGAGATGGAAGAACCTGATCACCCATTGTAGCAGATTTGCCAAGCCTGTCGAGCCTAGATGATTTATATACCAAACCACTGTTGAATTGTCTGATTGGATCAACAGACTGGTTGATTGAAGCTCTGTTGCCCAATGTGAGATGGCTTGCATTACCGCCTTGAATTCCAGCTCATTTATATGAAGTACCCGTTCGTCGGATGACCACAGCCTGGCCACTTGGTGGTCGAGGAAGTGAGCTCCCCAACCCATGAGGGATGCATCGACGAATAGGTGATGAGTTGGTGCAAAGGGCATCATAGAGACTCCAGCGCAAACATTCCGTTCGTCAGAGCCACCATTGAATGACTGGATGAAGCGGTTCTGGAAAGCAAATTAGTTCCTTGGGGTTGTCGGCCTGAAGGTACGGGCATAGAAATCGCTGTATCTGCTGAAGTTGGAGCTGGCCTCTGTACGCTAAGGCTTGAGCTGACGTCAGAAGGCCCAGTAGCTCCTGCCACTGTCGTTCTCGGTTCTCGCCTTGAGACAGTGCTGGAGGAATGCATTGCTGAATCTTTATCCACCTGTCGTGAAGTACGAACATCATCCCCTGACGAGTGTCGATCAGTGCTCCGATGAATTGGAGTTTCTGAGTCGGTATTAATTCCGATTTCGCGATGTTCAACAGCCACCCTAACTGCCTGAGCTGCGTGGTGTTGAACTGTAGCTGGCGAAGCAATACGATTGGATCCTGTTGAGCCTGGATGCAATCATCTATGTAGCTTTCGAAGGTGATCCCTTGAAAGTGTAGGAAGCTTGTTATGGGCTTGGTAATTCGGTTAAAAAGCCACGGGGCTGTGGAAATTCCAAATGGTAGGACTTTCCATTGGTAGTGATTCCCGTTGAACACGAAGCGAAGATACTTCCAGTGTTCTGAATGTATCGGAACGTGAAGATAAGCATCCTGAAGATCTAGGCTCATGAGGAAGTCTCCCTTCTTCAGGATGGTGCGTAAAAGGTTGATCGACACCATCCTGAAGTGAGGCGGTGGAAGCAGGAATCAGGCATTGAACAACTTCATATTGAAGATGAGCCGGAGTTTGTTGGAATTTTTCTTTGGAACCAAGAAGATGGGGGAGTAGAATCCTGGAGTGATGGGCGATGGACCTAGGAGCTCTTTCACGAGTTTGTCTAATAGCATACCTATTGTGGATTGCAGAGTCTGAAGCTGGTCCACAGGATATGAGCGATGAGCCAGATGCGACGTCAGAGGTGGACTGCCAATAACGGGTAGCTGATAGCCATGAAGTAGCAGGTTGGTGACGTACGGATCTTTGAGGATGGTCCAATTCGGGACAAAGATCTGCAATCTCTCGCCTACCAGAGTGTTGTAAATCGGAACAACTGGGGGCGGGAGCTCCCAGTCGTGCGATTGTCTCAAGCCGTCACTGCCCGGCGCTGGTTGGGGGGGAAGAGGGAGAGAGAGAGAGAGAGAGGGAGAGCGACGGGAGGAACTACTACGGCCAGATCTGTTTCCTCTGCCACGGCCTTGAGTGGATGGGCCACGAAAAAGATTGCATAAATCCGGATTGGTAGGGGTGAACTGTGCAGTTCGACGCTGTTTTAATGAGTTCTGGAGCTGTGACTTCTGTATCTTTAACAGTTCAATCGAGACTTGAAAGTGGTTTTTTTTATCAACTTTATTAGATACTTCTTGGATGCTACCATTGAAGAGGGAGTCAGTAAACCAAGGCTGGCGAAACAGTTCTGTTTTAAATTGCCCCTCCCATGAAGAGATGATAAGGGGTCCACCTTGGCGAACAGCAAGAGTGTAGCCCAAAAAATGAGACAACTGATCCAGATAATTTGGAACTGGTCCAGAGCTAAAGTCATGCATCCTTGGATGTAAGCGTCTTGATCAGAGTAAGTGTGCTCCAGAGCAGTGTTAACAGCGTCGACTGCTGCAATCACGCAACTAATAGATGGCAACGTCTTTCTCACGGCTGAATCCATGTGAGCCAACTCTCGGTCCTCAATAAGGTAGGGCGAAAGCAGCTCGTTTGCCACACAGGGTTCCAATATCCTCATCAACTGTTGGAGCCGTAGAGATTTTGTTGACATGGACATGAGAGGTAGAAGGATTATATCTGGGAGCAGAGAATCCTTCCTTAATTCGATTTCAGGCTTTTGAAACCATCATTTAGTGTACTGGATAATTTCAGAATACAAGGTCGAGGTGGTAGGGTGATGGTAGACCAATTCCAATTTCTAAGAGTATAAGAGTGATCCAGGTCATCTGCTGAAGTACTCAAGAGATGTTGGAGCTTCTCAACAATCCAAAGGAGTACCTGAGGTGTCTCAACTGCTGCAAAGCTACCCCCAGGGGTAGATAACTCAGAGTGAGCGGGAGATGCAGGCATGGCTATTTGGACTGGATCAATCTCAGGAGGTGGACCAGATGAAGAGCCAGGAGCTACCGAAGCCAGATGGGCTGGAGTAGAAGGCTGTATTTGGTTCCAGGCTGAGGTTATGGCCCTGATCATCATATTTAGATCCGGAGTCACTGTAGAAGTGGGATTGTTATCAGGTTCCCATGACTCAGCAATGATCCTAGAGTGAGTCGAAAGATTCTCAGAGCGTGTAGACGGAACATTGTAAGAGATTGTAAGCCTATTAGTGGTATCAGACCAATGATCACCCGAACGTCTGTCAGAGGAACTGCATCGAGATCTCGACGTGGTAAGTACCGAAGTAGGTTGGTAAGCCGGTGATCTGGATTCCCTAGTATGGCTAGGTGATCCGGTATGATATGAACAACAATACCGGGTCGCTGTAGTTCTAGTTGGTGATCTGGTTCTGAATGGAGCTCTGGTTCGACCATCTGAATAGGATCGGCCATGAGATGTGGATCTGTACTGTGATCCCGATTGGTCAATGGCTCTGTAAGGTAATCTAGATCGTATAGGTGACCTGGGTTGGTAAGATGAACTGGATTTGTAAAGAGATCTGGATCGATTCGATGCACTAACTGGAAACTGTGGTCGTTCTGGATCTGTAAGGTGATCTGGATCGAACAGGTGATCTGGTTTGCAGTTGCGATCTGGCTTGATTTGGTGATCTGGATCAGTTAGGTGATCTATTTTGATGTTGTGATCTGGATCGGTTCGGTGATCTGGATCGGTCTGGCGATCTACTTCGATGTTGTGATCTGGATCGGCTAGGTGATCTGGATCTGTCCGGTGATCTGATTCGAAGTTGTGATCTGGATTGGTGATCTGGATCTGTTAGGTGATCTGGATTTATCAGGTGATGTGGATCGTAGTTGTGCTCTGGATCGTGACTGTGATCTAGATCGGGCTTGTGATGGTGATCTAGATCGTTGTGGTGATCTAGAATCATGTGGCGATCTGGATCGGCGATTAGGTGACGAAACCTGAAGTGTTGATTCATGATGAACGTCCCCCGGCGACACTGTTGTAGCCAGCTCCGTCCGGTTCAATGAACTGTGGGGAGACAGTTGGCTGGTTGAACGCGGTTAGCCAGGCTCCAAACTGAGACAGTCGAGGGGATATCGAGGGGATATGTACCGATGATCTGGATGATGATAGTTTCGATCTAAGGTCCCCTGGTAGTGTAGATCGGACAGGCAACGAAGAATTATCGATCACAACCACTCGCGAGTGATCTGACACTATGGAAGGAGGTAATTGATGCATACGTAATAGGTGCCGAACGTCCTGAGATAAGTAAGAATCTGATGAAGCGTCCATAAAATCCTCTTGAACCACAGACGTCGCTCTCTGTGTGAAAGGTACGATTTTCTGTCGCTGTAACTTGATACGCTTGGCGGAAGTGGGATCAGATTTTGTTGATTTCCTGTCCCTATCCGCGATTCTCCGGGAGCAAACACAAAGGTAGGCCTTAAAATCCTCATCTATTAGTGAATTACACTTGCCACATCGTTTGTTCCAGTTACATTGTCCAATACAGTCACTACAAGACGAGTGAGGGTCCAGGGACGAATAATTCGTCTTGCATTGAGCACACATATTCCTTTTCCTTGACTGATTATCTGTTTTTCCCATGATGTTAGGGTAAAATAATGTCCCTAACATACAGCACGTCCACACAGTCGTGCGACAAGAAAGAAAATGATCATTCAAGGTAGCCACGTGGGCAATTAGTGGAGCATGCTGCAAGCTTTATTAGGAACTAGGAAGCTAATTAAGGAGAGCAGCATGGAGTGCCCGGGTGAATGGACAAGGAGGCCTATGGAAAAAAGTTTACAGTCGTTCCACTGAAAGTCGAAGCAAGAGAGAGAGGTGCAAGTCATTAGATAGGATAAGTTTAAAATTTATAGTATTATAAATGTCATTGTCAGTACTTTAAGGGACTAGAACAGAGAACAAAGAACCTAATCTCGATACATCTGACCATCCATGATGAAGTAACTGACAAAACACAAAGATGTATTACAGAGCACATACTTGGTTACATATGAACCAGTCATCACTGTTTGTTAGACATAGCAAGGTACCTTGTCATCAGAGTTGAGTTCCTGATATGGAATGTGCTCTGGCAGGTAGGAGTGTAACAGGGCACAGAAGGCCAGCCCATCATTCCAGCTGCTGCTGAAGTTGGTGATATCTACATGCTGAAATAGACAAACACAGGCATCAGTGGTGGCAGGAAAACTTAGCCAATAAACATGACAACAGAGTGTGTGATGTCCCTTCATCAAACACTACAATGACTCTACTCACAGTATATGCAACAGTCTTCTGCTGACACCACTTGAGGAGGGCATTGCGCTTTGATCCTCCCATCTGTTTGGCAAGATAGGCCAGAGGGTCCTTGCCAGCATTTTCTTTCCTCTCCGAATCAACACTGAAACAGTTACGTACTTAGTTTAGTGTCACTGTTTAAAGCCCTGATAGGCTGGCCACAAGCATGTCATCAAACATGGCTGGTGTAATGGAGACATAACAAACTAAAACTCAGAAATAAATAAATAGTAAAAGGTATGAAATTAAGCTGACGAGCAATGCCTATCCCAAGTTTTGATTGAATATGATGATTGCTTTTCAAGCTATTGCCCAAAAACAAACTCTGGCCTTATTTCAGACTAAATTGAAAATGTTTTCATGGAAACATACAAAAATTTAGTTCAGAATTTTTTTTAAAAAGCACAAGGCACCAGTTCAGGTGAAGAGAAATGCACATACCAGGTTTTGCTGAAACACACGGAGCGGTTTTCAAATAATGACATGGAATGGGCTGGGAACACCGACATGAGACTTTGAGAGTGGGTTGGGGAAGAGACATAAGCATACCAATATGATGTTGGGAGCTTTAGTAGCTCCAGTAGTTATAATGGTGGGTTAGAAAAGGCCACTAGTCCACAAGTCTGCGATAAGTGTGACCATTGAGTAAAAAATTGTAATATAGTACATTTAATCTAACTTAGTACCTTAGTTGTCATTATGTTGTGTGTGTACTACACACTCCAGGGACAAGTGAGGACCCATCTACCTACATGGAGGACCTCATCACCAGCCTGCTAAATGCAGTACCAACACTGTGTTATCACACCTGCCATGTCACTACTGACAACATGCTCCACCTTCTGCCGACACCATTATGTTGTGCGCAATAACCATTACGAAGTGTGCTTGCAATACAATCTGTATCCCGATACATTACTTCTACTCTATCAGGTGATTTTGTTTCTTTTTGTCGGTGAACGATTTGTTTTTAAATGTCAGAGATCGGCGATATAGAAGGCAGGCACATATATACTTGATGGCACTGTAGATGTCATGCTATTTATACCTAACCAGGAAATACAGGACTCCACATGTCTGTTGAATAGTATCTGTTTTTTACACCAACATAACATGGATGTATCACTGTATCATTGCATGTAGTAACTAATGTAGATCAGACATTTCAAGTAAGGAAAAGTGATGGCAAACTAGCTTTTTTCCAATACTGACTTGCTTTAAGAGATTGGTTTTGGTGTCACAAAATACACATATTCCAAAGACACAGGCACAATGATGCAGGACAAGCCATTACCAAGTACTCTAACTAAAAGATAGCAGGGTCAAAACCATAATGATTATGGAAAAGTCAGAAGACAAAACATGTTAATAATTACGATGTTCAACTCAGTATTCCTGTTGGAGATCCGGGTTAGAATTGGTCTTCAGTAACCCATGCTTGTCGTAAGAGGCAACTAACAGGATCAGGTGGTCAGGCTTGCTGACTTGGTTGACACATGTCATTATCTTACCTCACACATAAATATTAGTACTTCGTGGTAGTAATTCTTTATCTCGAATAACATTGAATCACGATTGATGTACGGAGAGTACTGATGTTTTACGAATGCAAATCGATGGAAGGGAGATAACTCTAAATCTGTTGTTCTTGTCAGCAAAATCTAACGATGGCTACAAAAAGATTTGTACCCATGCTTCAAACAATTCAAAATTAACATTAAGGTGTTCGGTAAGATAAATACGTTGTTCACTGGTCCCTCGCTGCCCATGGGTTGATGTACCCCTCGGGCTCGGGGAACATTAACAAACATTGAGGGTACATCAACCTATGTCCCCCTCGTGACCAGTCAACAACTTATATTGTATCCCAGTTGCGTAGATCGATGTTCATGTTGTTGATCACTGGATTGTCTGGTCCAGACTCGATTATTTACAGACCGCCGCCATATAGCTGAAATATTGCTGAGTGCGGCGTTAAACTAAACTCATTCACTCACTCACTCACTGTAAAATGACCAAAGCTCTGACTTTAAATTGAATGCAATCTGAATCAACATGCTTAATTATCAGGTTGAAGAAATAAAGTGCACATTACGTCTGATTGATCAGTTATCGATAACACTGAATGGATAGGAATTTTAAGTATGTGTCAACAGTTCAATTCCTGGAGGTACCTCATGTGACTCAATCACAGCTGTGACTTTCCTCTCACCTCTACACATGCACAATGTACACATATGTTGGGACCACTTTACCGAATGAATAGTGCAGATAGTTCAGGAAATGTATAACCCCAGAATTTACAAACACACTTCATTATAATGTAGAAAAATTCAAATAATTTCAAGATGTGCCTGACATATTACGTGCATGTATTCCTTTTTATTTGCAAGTAGTAGACCATATTTAGTCTTGTAAATCTTCGCCAACAGTCAACAAATACTCACATCCATAGTCCTTTCTTCCGTTTACATACATACTATCCTTAAAATGGAATACAGCATTGATATTACAACTCATATCTGTGACCTTGTACACAGCTAGTCCTCATACACAAACAGATGAACATCAATCAAAGTCTTATACTCACTTTGCTCCACTGTTTCTACGAGGTGGTCCCCTGTTCTGCAGAATGGAGGAAATAGCTGGCGACACCTTCGTGAACTCTCCCTCTGGACGTCCAAATGCAGGTGGTGTTTTAGGTGCATCACCAGGACTCTTGTCTATGAAATTTAATCCAGAGGCAGAAAGTCTCTGATGAGGAGAGGATTTCTCACTTCCCTTCCGAAAAACTGATCGTAGTGGGAACTCCCCTTGTGGACTCTGTAGTGGCGTCTCAGCCTGTGGTGAGGTGGGAGACTTCAACAGTTCCTGGATAGCACTAAATGAATCATCTGTTGAATTAGAGTTCCTTCTGGAGCCATTAAGGCTCGAGTGAATAGAGGAGCAGCCACTCTTCACTTGATCTTCTATGGACTGGATCAAACTTTTCACAGACAAATTCTGACTGCGAGGATCAAGTTTTTTTCCTTCCCTCAGGGCTGTTAGTTCTCTGTCCACAGTAGACAGCATCTTCCCTTTCAGCTCAGCTGAAGTGAAAATGGATTTTGAAAAAGGAGTACTAGGTTCCTCCTCTAATGTTTTGTGAGCACGGGAAGCATCCAATTCAGATCTTAGAAGTCGGATCTCTGCTTCCAGATGCTTACATTTTTCACGTAAGCAGGCATTTTCAGTTACTACTTTCTCCATCCCTTCTTGAGTCTCAGTACGGAAGTCATTAGCAATGACAACAGCAACCTGTAGATCCTTCTGAAACTGCTTCCACTCCTCAGATTCTTCCTCATGTCTGTTCGTGATTTCATACAGTTGAGCCTCTGCCACGGACTTGACGTCATGGGACCTCTTCAGTTCATCCTTGAGTTCTTGGATCCTTTCAGTAAAGTCTTCTGCTCCTCAAGATACCGTTCACAATCTTGCTCCAGAGTATCAATGTGTTCACGTAACACCTCCATCTGCTGCTGCATGTCTGTCCTTTCCTTTTCCATTTTTGTCAACTTATAGTCAAGATCACTTATGTGAGTCTTAGCATTATTCTTTGCCACTTTGATCTCTTCATCACGAGTGGACATTATTTCCTTAAGTTTCATCACTTCACAATGACTGTGATCCAGAGATTTCTGAATATTGGCAAGCCTCTCTTCAGCACGGTCTTTCTCCTGCCTCACGTTATCTAACAAAGCTTCCATATCAGATTTATCTACTACTTTTCTGAACTGTTCAAGTTCTTGAACTTTAGATTTCTCATTTTCGAGAAGTGTCCTGAGTCGATGAATCTCAATCTCATCATTTTTTCCTTGACTCTTTATCTCCAGCATTCTCTGTTCCTGTGACTCTCGTTCAGCATTCAAGCTGCTGATCTTATCTTCGCCTAGTTGAATCTTGTCACGCATGGCATCAATTACATCCAAGTTTTCCCGATATTCTGTTCTCAATGACTGCATTGCATTTGCAATCTCATTTTGTTTTCGCAGCAATTCCTCTCTTTCTTCTTGAGCACTTTTCAACAAACCCATTAAATGAGCCTCTCTACTTGACTTTTCAGGTAGGTTGCCACTAATCAGAAGACTCTTTAGCTGTTCTACTTGATGCCTTGATGTCTCCAGCTTTTCTGTCTGGGTACACAGGGATTCGAGTAGAACAGATTTCTCATCAGTAAGTCTCTCATTCTCCTCAGTCAGCTCATTGACTGCATCCTGTAGGTCTCCCAGCTCTTGCAGTGTTGCCTGAAGTTCTTCAGTAGTGCAGTAGTTGGTTTCCTCCATGCGAAGAATCCGTTCTGTCAAGCACTGGACTGATATTTCACTCAGCCCATCACTGTCACGACTCTTATTGCTCTGTTTGTCCCAGTTCAGTGGATCTAGAGACAGATCAGAGGGGTGGTCTGGTGTTCCACATAGATCAGCCAAGGAGAAACCTGGTTCTGAAGCAGTCATGGAAGCTGATCTCTCCAGTGATCCCACATGTCCAGGCAGAGCAGCTGCCTTAGCACCATCAGTTGACAAACTATCACAGCTTACACTTGTTGGTAGGTTACACTCAGAATCACCCATGGACTTACATGAGCCAAATGTCTGTTTAAGTAACAACTTTTCTGTATCTGTGATCTGTTCAACTGGAATACCAAGCTCTTTAAGTCTATCTTGCAGATGCTTGTTTTGATTTCGAAGCATCTCTAACTCCTCTTGCACATCCTGTGAAGGAATAATTTCCTTCAGTGCTTTCACCTCATACTTGTATTTCTCAATCTCAGCTTTCCGGCTTTCAGTGAGTTTAGTAAGTTCTGATATCCTAGCTTCAAGATTTTTTTTCTCCTTCTCAAAATTAGCTAACAGTTCTGCATTATATGCCATAACATCTGCTGGAGCAGATGTCCTTTTCCTATTCAACATTTTGTCTTTACTAACATTCTGAGTACTTTGAGCACGTTTCATAGCCAGTGATTTATTACTAACAGGCTGCGGTTTCTGACTTGACGTTCCAGCAGAGGTTTTGTCTATTGATTGTGTGCTTGACGCTTTGCGTATGGTTCCGGCAGCCACTGGAGCTTTACCTGCCTTGGGTTTGGCAAAGTTTGAATTCTTTTCCTTTTCTTTCAGGGCTAGATTTTCCTTGTTTCTTTCTGTAGAAGACCTTGCAGAGTCTGGCTTTGAATTTCCAGATGCTGTCTTGGGTCTACTAGTTTCAGGAGGTAGTGTCAGTTTCTTTTTCGTGCTGCTGAGGTTTTCATGGCTCTTGCTCAGATAGGACTTCCGTGCTAGATTTGAGGACCCCTTCCCCTGACTCTTGGAACTGAGTGAGGTGGAGTCCGACTTGGACTGCTTCATCCCCATCTGTCCTGTTGTGGTGGTGGAGGATGGGGTGGAGCTAGAAGCAGTGCCTGCTTTCGATGCAGAGCCGTTCTTCTCCTGCTTCTTCATCCTGCTGGTGTGGACAACCTGCAACACAGAGCAAGAGAGTAAGTAAATGGTTTGGTCACTTCTATATGTTACAGCCAGCAGGAGCATGTTAGGATCTCACTAATGGTTTGTGCTGAAGTGGAGTGGAGTGGAGCGGAGTGGAGCAGAGAGGAATATGGTTTTACGCCGCTTTTAGCAATATTCCAGCAATATCACTGCAGGGGACACCAGAAATGGGTTTCACATATTGTACCCATGTGGGAAATCGAACATGGGACTTCAGCATGACAAGCAAACACTTTAACCATTAGGCTACTCCACCACCCTGCTAGAGTAGAGATTTGCACTGAAGGGTACCTGATGTCCCCCTGTCACCTTTAGTGATTCACTGATTATGGCAACAAGATAACCAATTTAATACCATTATCATGGTAATATTATACATGTACACATTCTTAAATATCAAAATATTCTTTACCTAATAATCATAACAAAACCTGCTGACATAAGTGATCTTCAAGTGAAATCCTACATATATTAGTCTGTACTATTTCACTGACTTTATTGATTACAAGGGGAAAGAATGTCATGAAAGAACTATCACGAATGCAAAATGTACTAAGAAAACAAGCTCCTCTACATAAACTACATCAAATGAAGAGATAAAATAAAACTATGGTTATGTTTGAATATATCTGTAACTGTAAAAGAAACTTGATTCACATGAAAATGTCAGCCAGATCAGTCTATCTAGAAGCTCCTCCACATATCACTGTACATCTAACATAAAGTAAGTACCCCTGCTACATGATTCATATGGCCACATATATTTATATCACATCTTCTGAAAGACACCATGTAGCAAGAACTTTGCAACTTGTAGAGGACAGAATCACTATTAATTTTCATAAATACATGACTCACACCATGTTCATTTAATTTGTGTACAATGAGTCAATTTAGCTTACGTATCATATTACTTAGGTCTGCATGTAAATATGTCAAATCATGGCCATGTGACATGTAAATGGCAGCCAGCTGAGTCATATCCACAATACATTATCATTATTTCAAGGGAGTGTATGGCCTTGCTTTTCAAAACTGGAAGGCTGTGCCTGACATTCCTTGTGGTAGGGAAACAGCTAAACAAGGCAAGCCCAGCTTTGATGTCTGCAGAAATCACTTTCACTCACACCTTCACTACAATGTACAAGCTGTTCCACACTCACCTGGCAGACATTTCGGTCACTGAAAACACGCACAAACTTACTATGAAAACAGTTCATTACTGCACATATAAAAGCATATTAACAGGCATATGCATCCACTTATATCCAAATAGTGATGAACTGCTGTAGCTCACCTGGGACATGTTCATTCACATTCGACAGGTCAACTCAGTTTAAACATGTGCTCAATCAATGATATTATTAGACATAAAATAGAAAAGATGTGTTATTTTTTTCAGGAATTATCAGTTTCCTGAATTTGCAGTATAAGGTGGCTTCTTTTACTACAATCTAATGAAAATTCCAGAAACTGAGGTAGGCTCTCACAGGGGCTTATATTCAGAAGTATGTCTTGGCCATATATAGAATAATTCACAATTAAAGCAAAGGCAGAAATAAAACTTCAACACTCACAAACTTGAAAATAGATAACATCTTAGGATACTACCCAAACATATTGAAGGTGTACCAACTCTGACAATGCCTTCAACATCACACACACTGACTTGAGCTACAGGGCTAATGATCTAGAATACAAGACGGCCTAATGATATACAGGGGATGTATGACTAGTAGATAATGCCATAAACATGAAGTAAGTATCATTATGTGTAAATAGGTGTCAGAAAAGCACTGCTTCAAATTAAACACAATTCCATCATTGAGTATGTATAGAGATTTATTTAGAGTTGTATTGAGTGAGTGAATATGATTTTATGCTGCTTTTAGCAATATTCCATCAATATCATGGTGGGGGACACCAGAAATGGGGTTCACACATTGTACCCATGATGAACCCGGGTCTTCAGCGTGAAGAGCGAACACTTTAACCACTAGGTTACCCCATCGCCCTATTTTAGAATTGTAGAGTAAGCATACAGAGTATGCAAAGTATTGTGAGATCAGTAAGAAAACATGCAAAGTTGTGAGAGGTGCATATTGAGACATGCAAAGTACTATGCGGTAGGGTGAAGCAAGGATGGGAATATATGTACAGTTATGTGATGCAAGGACGGGGATATATGTACAGTATTGTGGTGCAAGGATGGGAATATATGTACAGCATTGTGATGCAAGGATGGGGATATATGTGCAGTATTTTGATGCAAGGATGGGAATATATGTACAGTATTGTGATGCAAGGATGGGGATATATGTACAATATTGTGATGCAAGGATGGGGATATATGTACAGTATTGTAATGCAAGGATGGGGATATATGTACAGCATTGTGATGCAAGGATGGGGATATATGTGCAGTATTTTGATGCAAGGATGGGAATATATGTACAATATTGTGATGCAAGGATGGGGATATATGTACAGTATTGTGATGCAAGGATTGAGATTTTTGTACAGTATTGTGATGCAAGGATGGGAATATACGTACAGTATTGTGATGCAAGGATGGGGATATATGTACAGCATTGTGATGCAAGGATGGGAATATATGTACAGTATTGTGATGCAAGGATGGGGATATATGTACAATATTGTGATGCAAGGATGGGGATATATGTACAGTATTGTGATGCAAGGATGGGGATATATGTACAGCATTGTGATGCAAGGATGGGGATATATGTGCAGTATTTTGATGCAAGGATGGGAATATATGTACAATATTGTGATGCAAGGATGGGGATATATGTACAGTATTGTGATGCAAGGATTGAGATATATGTACAGTATTGTGATGCAAGGATGGGAATATATGTACAGTATTGTGATGCAAGGATGGGGATATATGTACAGCATTGTGATGCAAGGATGGGAATATATGTACAGTATTGTGATGCAAGGATGGGGATATATGTACAGTATTGTGATGCAAGGATGCAGTATTGTGATGCAAGGATGGGAATATATGTACAGTATTGTGATGCAAGGATTGAGATATATGTACAGTATTGTGATGCAAGGATGGGGATATATGTACAGTATTGTGATGCAAGGATGGGAATATATGTACAGTATTGTGATGCAAGGATGGGGATATATGTACAGTATTGTGATGCAAGGATGGGGATATATGTACAGTATTGTGATGCAAGGATGGAGATATATGTACAGTATTGTGATGCAAGGATGGAGATATATGTACAGTATTGTGATGCAAGGATGGGGATATATGTACAGTATTGTGATGCAAGGATGGGGATATATGTACAGCATTGTGATGCAAGGATGGGGATATATGTACAGTATTGTGATGCAAGGATGGAGATATATATGTATTGTGATGCAAGGATGGGAATATATGACAGTATTGTGATGCAAGGATGGGAATATATGTACAGTATTGTGATGCAAGGATTGAGATATATGTACAGTATTGTGATGCAAGGATGGGGATATATGTACAGCATTGTGATGCAAGGATGGGAATATATGTACAGTATTGTGATGCAAAGATGGAGATATATGTACAGTATTGTGATGCAAGGATGGAGATATGTGTACAGTATTGTGATGCAAGGATGGAGATATATGTACAATATTGTGATGCAAGGATGGGAATATATGTACAGTATTGTGATGCAAGGATGGGAATATATGTACAGTATTGTGATGCAAGGATGGGAATATATGTACAGTATTGTGATGCAAGGATGGGGGTATATGTACAGTATTCCTAGGTAAGGATGGGGATATATGTACAGTATTCCAAGGAAAGGATGGGGATATATGTACAGTATTCCAAGGAAAGGATGGGGATATATGTACAGTATTCCAAGGTAAGGATGGGGATATATGTACAGTATTCCAAGGTAAGGATGGGGATATATGTAAAGCATTCCAAGGAAAGGATGGGGATATATGTACAGTATTCCAAGGAAAGGATGGGGATATATGTACAGTATTCCAAGATAAGGATGGGGATATATGTACAGTATTCCAAGGAAAGGATGGGGATATATGTACAGTATTCCAAGATAAGGATGGGGATATATGTACAGTATTCCAAGGAAAGGATGGGAATATATGTACAGTATTCCAAGGTAAGGATGGGGATATATGTACAGTATTCCAAGGAAAGGATGGGGATATATGTACAGTATTCCAAGGTAAGGTTCGGGATATATGTACAGTATTCCAAGGTAAGGATGGGGATATATGTACAGTATTCCAAGATAAGGATGGGGATATATGTACAGTATTCCAAGGAAAGGATGGGGATATATGTACAGTATTCCAAGACAAGGATGGGGATATATGTACAGTATTCCAGGATGGATGGGGATATATGTACAGTATTCCAAGGAAAGGATGGGGATATATGTACAGTATTCCAAGTGGGGATATATGTACAGTATTCCAAGGTAAGGATGGGGATATATGTACAGTATTCCAAGGAAAGGATGGGGATATATGTACAGTATTCCAAGGAAAGGATGGGGATATATGTACAGTATTCCAAGGTAAGGATGGGGATATATGTACAGTATTCCAAGGTAAGGATGGGGATATATGTACAGTATTCCAAGGTAAGGTTCGGGATATATGTACAGTATTCCAAGGTAAGGATGGGGATATATGTACAGTATTCCAAGATAAGGATGGGGATATATGTACAGTATTCCAAGGAAAGGATGGGGATATATGTACAGTATTCCAAGATAAGGATTGGTATATATGTACAGTATTCCAAGGAAAGGATGGGGATATATGTACAGTATTCCAAGGAAAGGATGGGGATATATGTACAGTATTCCAAGGAAAGGATGGGGATATATGTACAGTATTCCTAGGTAAGGATGGGGATATATGTACAGTATTCCAAGGTAAGGATGGGGATATATGTACAGTATTCCAAGGTAAGGATGGGGATATATGTACAGTATTCCAAGGTAAGGTTCGGGATATATGTACAGTATTCCAAGGACTGACTGACTGAGTTTAGTTTTACGCCGCTTTTAGCAATATTCCAGCAATATCACGGCGGGGGACACCAGAAATGGGCTTAACACATTGTGCCCATGTGGGGAATCGAACCCGGGCCTTCGGTGTGACGAGCCAACGCTTTAACCACTAGGCTACCCCACCGCCCCAGTATTCCAAGGAAAGGATGGGGATATATGTACAGTATTCCAAGGAGAGGATGGGGATATATGTACAGTATTCCAAGGTAAGGATGGGAATATATGTACAGTATTCCAAGGTAAGGATGGGGATATATGTACAGTATTCCAAGGTAAGGATGGGGATATATGTACAGTATTCCAAGGTAAGGATGGGGATATATGTACAGTATTCCAAGGAAAGGATGGGGATATATGTACAGTATTCCAAGGAAAGGATGGGGATATATGTACAGTATTCCAAGATAAGGATGGGAAGAATATTTCTAACCCTGGATGTTAATTGCAAGTATGCTGACATATGTCCAGTTCTGCGGTGTAAGTATGAAGATATGTACATTGTTGTGAAGCCAACAACTGTTCACTAAGTATACAGATGGGCACAGCTAACCAGCATGGTGTCAACAGTTACAAATATCAACAAAGAAGAACACATTCAACAGTTGCTCTAAGCTTGAATGTACAAAACACTAACATTCAAACTGACATTGAATGATTTCAACAATGTATACATCTGTGCATAAAATAAGCACCACCCTGTATTTTTACCAATTAATTTTGTCTGAAATGAAATTCTAAACTCTTTCCAAAAAATAACCTTGATGATTTGATAGAGCAAGCATTTAACATTTCAAAAACGAAAACATCATTGAAATTACCATGTATTTTAATTAGGATAATTGCCTATATCAAAAACAGGTGTTTTTCTGTCCTGAAACAAGTTACCTTATTTTGAAAAGTGAAAGTAATAACTGATTGTTGTGTGGCCTATAAATTCGTTATTTATTGTGAATGGATGGAAGTTTGTAAACTAAGATTGAGGAAAAGTTACAGTCAAACTAAAAAATGGAAAATTTTAGAATGCAGTAAAAAGTTGCTTTACAAATAAAACCAATAGACTTTAGCTGTAATTATCAGTTTCCGGCAAGGAGAAGTGTTTATTCATTACAATAAACTCAAAATCATAAACAACTTATTCCAAAATCTTTTTAATGTGGCCTTTTTTCAGTTTTTGCCAATTAGCAATCTGAATTGTTGGAAAAAGGTCTGAATCTTTGACATTCGTGTTCTTTCTGATTATGCATAATTAAAGCTTACTTGATGTGTAAATGTCATCTTGGTATAGAACAGAATTGTTATTTTTAGTCAAAACTTAATTTAATAGTGTAGTTTGAGCAGGAGAGTCATAGTTACTTTGGGTAAAAATTCAGTCCCATCACATTTTCATCAACATATTCTTTCATAAAGAATAGAAAAGGATATGGTATTTGTAAACTTGTCAGTGGATAAAGCTTCTTTAACTACAGGTTGATTAAATTGATGGCTATACCCTAACTTTTCTGTAGCATCACATCTTATTTTCAAAATAGGGTGGTGCTTAATTAATGCACGGGTGTATATATTATTGCTTGGAGAAAGTAAATACCATGTTCAGCTTCATCAGTCTCTCGGTTCAAGAAGAGAATAAATAGGCAGAAAAGTATCTGGAGAGAATTTATGAACATTGTCAAAGTATAAAAGTCAAAACATGGCAAAATGTGAAATGATCTATATCTGAACTTCAGAAACCCCAAACTTCCTTCCATTTGGGAATATATATCTAATTAATGTCCTTAAACAGTTTTTTCAATATGGCTGACATTGCAGGACATGGCAGGATGCTGGATTTGAACCAGCATGTTTTTAGATTCGCTGGTCTAGCAGTTTCTGATGAGATAGGCCATGCAAATAGACTTTTAGTCAGGTGTGCTAAAAGCATAATTGAAGAAACATACATTCCCCTAATTATTACAATTACACAGGAAACACACAGTGCGAAGCCTACTGTAAATGTCACTCCAACACTTGAGTATAATCATCAAGTCAAACGTTAGACCATGAAAAGTGGAGAATAATGTTGGGAGCTTTGGTTTGAAACAGTTATGACTCACAATCATTAAAGACATCAGCAATGACATAGCAATAACCTACAGACTGATACTTATATTAACTACACCATAACAGAATGTGGAAATAAGGAAGGAAAGTGATATACCGGCCGGTACTCAGTTTAACATTGGGAGTTTCTTCATTCAGTCATTACTGACCACACAAACAGAACTGTGTGCTGTTCCCTACACTGGATTTCCCTGCCACCATGCTTCAGTTCAATCAAAGGTCTCATAGTGTCACCAAGTGCACACTGACACATGAGAAAACTTTACCTCAATTCACAAATTACATCTATATAAAATAAATCTTAAACAATTCCACAAACAAACAAATTTGTTCTTCATAAAAATAGCTCCTGCCAATCCAGACTCCAGCATACGTGTTAGTTATACGCTATCTACATGTGGACAGTTTGAAGTCTATGGCACATGATGCCACCAAGCATGTTGACAGCTTTAATATGTACCCCATCTCCCCACCTGTCTGTCTCCCCACCCTCCAGACTTACTTTAGGGGTCCTCCTGGTTGTCTCCACCACACCTACTTTAGCACTTCTCCTAGCAGACATGGTGGTAGAAAGACTGTCCCCAGAACAATCCTACAACATTCTTGTCACAAGCTGGGAATCGTTACCACTATAGTACGACCCACTTTCCTGCAGGCATTTCCAGCCTCTGCCGCCTTCTCCATCAGCCACTGTAGCTGCTGGCCAACCCAGGCCAGCACACTTGGGTGGATCCAGCATCACAAGCAGCAGTGGGAAGGATATATAGAAGTAATCACTATCTCAGATCTCAGATAGACGCAAAGATAATGAATTTACTCTTCTGACAGTAATAAGATTACAGAATGGATTTACGTCCTTGTATAATAATATATATTGACATTACTGTCAGATGACGCCAGTAGTTACTTCCACATAAAACTGATATAAGCTGCATTCCGGTACAGGCACAAGGAAGAGGGCGGAGCCATAACAATCTTTATATATATGACAAAGGAACTTCAGTGTCACGTAGTCATCATCAGTGTGGTACAATATCATTGGTCTGCTGGGTTAAGTCTAGTCTGTCATACAGATCCTGAAGCAAATATATCTAAGAAAGCCCACACAAATCTAGAAAATGTGGCAAGTCTAGATTTCCACAGCTTCAGGAAAATGAAGAAAGTATCAGGGCTCCTTTTCATAATGACCTATTACAAAACAATAGATAAATCTCTGAAGTTAAAAAGCATTAATTTGTCCCACTCACACATGTAAACATTGAGCCTATAGAATTAGAATAATACACACCATTTAACTTGACCAGTAGTTTTTTTCTAACTAATTTGGTCTTCGCCAAACACCGTAATATGATGTCATAATCATAGTGTAACATTATGTAATTACCAGGAATGATATGGGGGTGGAAAATTCCACTTTGTAGTATTGACTGAACATGAATCAATAACAAGCCCTCGATCACTTGTCACTGGTATGTTCATTACTTACAACATACCAATTGTTATAATAAAGCATTACAGGATATCAAAGTTGCTTAGGTTGGACCTAACTTCCCACAGTGAATGTCATATACCATACACATACCAACTCACTGTATGTTCTAAGTTTCGTTAAAGGTAATGAGCTGGCTAGCTTTTCCTGAAACGTTTGTAGCCCTACGAACTTCTTAAGCCCATTTTTAACACATTGGCTACGATCAAAGTTAAGAATTCTTAGGGCTACAAACGTTTCAAGAATAATGTTGGATATCTGTAATGACCTAAATTATGTGCTGATCAAGCAAAAGACAGAACAATCCCGTAAATAAATTATACCTGGGAATGAGATACCCTTACTTGTGACAGAAAAGTACAACTCATCCATAAGAAACACAGTGAGCATGCAGCAGCCTTACACCCTTGTTGAATCAACTGCTTATGCTACATTACACAACCAATAGACTGCTTGGAGATAACCTTGTAACATGCAACACGGTGATAGACAGGACAGATAGCACACCTACCAGCCTGGCCACAACACTAGGGGCGACACCCATGTCTGTCAAGTTCACATGTGCTGGTGAGTAACACCTTTCATGTCACTTGTCATTGTTTTATATTTTCTGGTTGTCTTTGAAAACTGCTTAGAGTATCGTATCATAATGTATCGTGAGTACATTCTTATAAAAAATTGAAGACAAATCAGGAAAGAAATATTTCAGGATGACTCATTTTGGTGACAAGATCAGCATCTTTTGAAAGTCATCTAAAATTAACAGGAATTTTTCACACACAAGGGAATATTTTAATGTTATGTCTACTTTAGACTAACAGCTAGTCTCTGAAATGAACATATTTTACAGAAAAAAAGCTCTTAGTAAAAAAAATAAAATATATTGAAAAGGAGCCCTGAGACTTTCTTCATTTTCTGAAGCTGTGGAAATCTAGACTTGACACATTTTCTAGACTAGCGTGGGCTTTCTTGGATATGTTTGCTTCAGAGTCTGTATGACAGACTTTGTCTACTTCAGAATTATGAATCCAGAACATGACCTTTTAAGAATACTGCTATGGATCACATGGACACTATTTAAAGTTGTCCTAATCAGGACAAATGTTTGACAAATATTGTGGGTGTATGATTATAATGGTTATTGCAGCTACAAGCAGGTGGCTGCAACTGATTCCACTTACCCCGACTAGTGCAGCTATCACCACAAGGTCCAGCACGTACAAACACAGGTGCTCCATCATGTCTGTCACACACACCTCACCATAGGTAACACCACATGTGTACACCACGACAGAGGATCGCTAATACATCAAGTATATAATCCAGTATACTGCAGATCTTGCAGCTACAATAAATCTGTGCCTGAATAAACTGGTGGAGTAAGAATGATCATCCTGATGACAATTCTGGTCTTTTGTTTTCATTCTCTCATGGCTCGAAGCTGCCCTCAAGAAGATGTATATTTTACACTTCTGGTTAACACTTGCCAGAGTCAGTACACCTTTTGCTTGAAAAAGAAATAGAAAATTGCAAAAGATGACTGTCCAGCTCGGACTGTTGCAATCCTCTGCTAATTATAAATGTCCACTGTTACTTTTCCACTTGAGCAGCACGTAATCTCCCTAAAATCTCAACCTGTAAGAGTTACAAGGGTTTCAGATATTATCAGGAATTCTAATTGTACACCAAGTCACATGCATCCTGACTGAAGCACGCCATAGAAAAAAATGACAAAACTAGCACACACTTATGTAAACAGCATGTGAACAGTCACATGAAGTAGTTAAATGTCTCCATAACTCCTCCGTTCAGCCTCCATATGTACAGGAGTCTACAAATCCTGGACGATCTAGCGCTGGTAAAGACAGAGAGCCCATCATGGAGATTACTGTCAATCTTTGTACATGTGCAGCAACACTGGCCAAATCAAACAGGAAATATAGGTGAAGTCTATGTTAAATAACAACCTCAATACAAAACAATTCAGCATGTTTGAGATGTCAGTCCTGAAGTAGCCACAGACCAAACAAAGATTTTGAAAGTTCAATCTATAAATGAGCATTAGCACACACTCATCAAACGGCAAAAAGTAAATCCATAGTGCCCAGTTTCATGACATGAGCAGCACATAATCAAGAAGTTGCTACACCCAACATGCCTCAGCTACACACAATAATCCCTGGCTGAGATCCGTTGGCAAGTTAGTATAGTCTCTTATCTGAAATTCCTGGTCACAGAAGGGTCAAGAATATGCAAACACAAGTCATTTATGTCCCCTCTTTCATTGCCTCTGTACATAAAGGCTTGGCCAGTTTAGCCTTAGTTTTTTCTCTCTCCTGTTCTTTCCTGTCTAGTACACACTGTCCCAGCAAACACCTTAGCAACATTTGCCATCAAGCAACACTTTCCTTGAAGTGAATCCTAATCTGGTTTATCATAAACAGCTTATCACAGCAGTCTTAATGAAATGGAAACCAGCTGCTTTGAATGAATGAACATCTATGAAGCTCTGCAGTTTGTATCTATTTTAGGCCACCTGATAACATGTGTTTGTCTATTTCAAACTCTCAAACAGGAACAGTGGCCTAAGGGATCTCGTGTCAGGAAGACACACACCTATCCTTGTAATGTACTTGGCCTGTCATCACACATGCCGACGGAGCCTCACACAAGGGAGCATGAAGTAGGACATATACTGACCGTTGCATGAGACAAGCTAGGTGTGTACTGATTACTTAGCCTGACTACAACTGTTGACAGAAGCCCACAGTGTCAGTAGGAAAACCAGTGATGATCAGCATTTATATCATTAGCCAGGTGAAGGAACCGTGAAACAGTCAGCTAATGCAGCTCTCTGCTGCAGGAAACCCGTGTCACAGTCCGAAATTTCTAGCAAAAATATAACAAATACAATGTATGTTGCTTTGTTACAAATTTCATACATGTACAAATTTGATCACAGGTTTCAGAACAACCTCAACAACCTGTTGAAGGTCTGTGAATAAATTTGAACATAATCTTGTGAAAACAACTTTGAACATGTCAACATTTCACAAAAGAGAACTAGAGCTATTTCCGAGGTTTCACGGGCTGATTTGACAAAGCAGCTGATGATTTTGAAAATGTCAGCCTAACAGATTAAGGCAAACCTGTGTAGTGTTGTGACAGACAAAATGTTGGTATGTTCAGCAAAGAGGGTGTTTGTTTTGGGTCATAGAAATACATGAAAGATGTTTTTGGCTTGATTAACCCATGTTATTCGCTACACATCACACTTGTGTAGGACACAGAGATAGGTGATTGTCACGGTATGCGTGGCCCTGCATGACTGTAAAACATGTAATCCCAGCTGGAGGCACCACATACCTCACATGGACTGGCAGCTCCAGGATGTAACCTCTGTCAAAAAGGGCATGCTTTTGTGCAAACTATTTCTTTAACTAGATATCTCAATACAAAATATTCTCTGCTTATTCCATCTAACAATTCCTGTAAAACTGATTTAGTCATAATGGGAGTGGTTCTGTTCATCCCACCAAATGACTATGTATGTTGTACAAAAGGAGGGTTTGAAAGGCAGATCTAGTGATTTACAACAAGCTGTGACAGCTATAAATTGACAAGAGAAGCTCTACACCCACCAGTGTGTGTTATCAAGGCTGTTTAGACAGCTGCTGTTATATGACCAGGGGTGCTATCTATGGTTGTAATATACATGACATGTACCTTAGTCTGATATGAAGATGAAATAACCTCTATGCCGGATATTGGTATGATTTGATGCAGGCATCCTACTTCTCATAAACAGACTCACTTCAGAATATATCTCCAAAAATTTACAGTTCATGGGTTATCTATGTAGAAAGATTACCAAGACATTTCATCTCAGAATGTTACTGGTAACTTATGGCCAAAGCATAGCTAAAAGTAACTGCAGTTCAACATATTTCCTCCCAGCCTGTGCCTGTAATTGCCCAGATAATGCTACAATACACCATTTGTTATCACAGGTCATCAACCTCCACATTTGAAGTGACTACTTCTATCCCACTTGCAAGGCATCATTGCCTTTAAACAGATAAATATCCAATCTTATGATTGCTGATTTCAAATCCACATTCAGTTACCACTTTTGAGGTCTGTCAGTACTGACAGGATAAGCACATCCCAGCTTTCAAAATGTCACTGCAATTGCATAAAAGTTAAATTATCTGGTCAGTGACATTTATGCTCTAACAACAACATAATAAAAACATTAATTTGAAGTCATTTCAGTATTTTGTAAAGGTCAAAGGACATGAGATGGAAACAGGACTGCATGTTTGAGGTGTACCATTACATCCGCTGCTTAAGTCAATATGATAAATGTTGGGTGTAAGGGTTATTTCTACAATATGAGGACACACACCTGCCCTGGAAACACTTTCATCTTAAACACATCTAATTACATATAACACATATCAAACATACTTGGCAGTATGGGAGACTGAGTGTCTGTCTCTACCCAATATCTGTTGATACTGACAAGGCAGGCAGTTCACCTTGACTGTGAACGCAATAGTGCAGTGGTAAGGTGTCTGCCTATCATGCTGAAGGCCCGGGTTCAATCCCCGATGGAGGCACCTAGGTTCGGGTCCCGAGGTGGGCACATATACATAGTATCCTTGGACAAGATACTTAGATCCACATTGTCTCAGTTCACCCAGCTGTAAAATGGGTACCCGTGAGGATGTGCTGGCAATATGTCTGTTTAGTTCATTGCACCTAACAGGCAGCATGGCTGTATGCTCCCCTGGGAGTTGAAAAAGTATCGGAAAGTACGATAGTGTCCTATGACAGGGGATAGTAATGTACGTAGCGCCATGAGCTGGTAATGTGCCTGGATATGAGCGCCATATAAGCGGACTATTACTATTACTGTCACTAACTCATGTCAAACAGTCAGGTTCATCATGGTATCCTCCTGATAACTGGTAGATAAATGTGACCACTATAGCTCCAATGATAACTACATGCAGCAGTCAGCCATATTCCAGCTGTATGTCATCTGGCTGTATGTGATCAAGTCTGGGCCAGGCAGACTGGTGGTGGGTAACTGCACCAGTAATGACACATGCATAACATGCTGATGAGACTGCAGTAGACACTGTATACTGGCATCTCTGATGAGGAACAAATCTCTGCTGAATCTGTGAAAGAATGATACCAACCACCTAGATCTTGTACACTTAAAGGGTAATAAGAAGAAACTGATCTAGCTCTTGATGTGGTTAGATGATTGGCCAATGATTTGGTCAGTGAGGACTGATAACAACAGGATTGCTACTGGCCTATGAGTGAAGACTCTGACTCTGCCATGAGAAATCATAATGAAAATAGCAAATAATGGTGACTTGAAACTCTGGGTATGACGACAACCAAGAATATCCTAAGTGATCAGCTGACAAGAGAGGATAGAAAGGAATAAATGACTTGTCAAATCTACACACTGAACTGAATGGTAGTTAATCTGTGTCAGTGAAAAGTATTTCGGTTATATAATCACATGTCAGGTGATTAAGCAGGAGGAAGTGATGGAGGTTGTAGACAACTACTTGTTTCATGGAACCTATATTTCCGTATAAGCAAAACTATGCTTGCATACCAAGCAGCATAACATGTTCACCACTAAGACTTGACCATCTTCAGAACTATGGTTCCTGGCACAACTGACAATAAGATATTGCTCAATAGAGAACCAATGATAACTCCACACACAGTTTAGTGAGCACTAATAGATAGCCTGGCCATGTAAAGATGATACTCAAAACATTACTCCATTTGAGTAGGAATTAATGTTAACAACAAATACTGATAATTATTACAAAGTCTCTGAGCCATTATTTTCATCATTATCAGCAGCAGCAGCATCACCATAACAAGTCCATCATCATCATCATCATCATCATCATCATCATCATCATCATCATCATCATCATCATCATCAACTGTTTCAGTAAAAGAGTCTGATTTACGCTGCTTTGAGGGATATCCCAGGAATGAACTTCTCACACTGACCAGTTTGATAGGTGGTCTACAGAGTAAGAATATACAGATCACACTCTACTGTTAATTGTATTAGATCCCTAAACAGTTTGAACCAGTGAATAGTAAGATTATAGATATGATGCGACAGATGCACTTCAACATGTCACTGCTACCTGTTGGTGCCTGTCACCCCTGAAAAGAAGTATGAGGTACTGATCTGTGAACATTCTCATAGTAATCACCTTCTAAAGCTTCAGTTTTCTTAAATATTTCAACAATTTGTATCAAGAATATAGTACCATGAGGATATTTTTCATAGTTTCCTCACCTTTTATGACATTAATCTTCTCTATCTCTATCACTCT